GAGTGCTTATCATCAAATCAAAGTGTGAAGTAAAAAAAGGCAGTTTAAGAAAGTTCCAGTGTTTCAAAGAGAGCACTTTTTAAAACGTATATACATGAAAAACATTTCATTATACCATAAAATAAATGCAGCACCGTAAGATAAAGGAAGACTAATATATACGGAGTTTTGGTCTTTCTCCCCTCTGCAGCTGCAACCATCTTCAACTTGCTGAACTTAACTCAATGGTTGCAGGAATTTTTTGCCTTTTTTTTTTGTCTCCTATTCAGTTCACATTTCAGGTTGTTCAGCAGATGCCTGTGATTCTGGAGATTCAAATCACTGGTGAAAGTTTTTTCTCTGTTTCCTCAGTTTTTCAGGAGCTTTTCTTCATAAAATGATCTCCTGCTGTTTGAAGTACCTTCGGTCTTCCTCATCAACAAAAACTAAATTCAAAAAGTACCTTACTGAAAATTTTTTATTCACATCTCTCTGTTGGAGTAGGGTCATATCCCACTAAAAATAGTCTCATTGGAATTGATTCACCTTTTACTGGTGCACCATCCATTATTTCATATTTGGTGATTGTTTCTGTTTCTGCTGTGGTACTGGGTCCAATTCCTGTGATCTCTTTTTTGATCAGTTGTAACTCCATATGTTGTATATTTGTTCTTACTAAGAAATAAATTTTTCCGACTATTACATGCTTTAAATGATACCTTGATTTATTATATTCAAATTGTATATGTAGACAATCTTCAATGCCCACTTTTTGTTGTTTTTTTTGTTTTGTTTTGTTTTTTTGGAGACGGAGTCTCACTCTGTCGCCCAGGCTGGACTGCAGTGGTGCGATCTCGGCTCACTGCAAGCGCCACCTTGCGGCTTCACGCCATTCTCCTGCCTCAGCCAGTAGCTGGGGCTACAGACGCCCGGCACCAAGCCCGGCTAATTTTTTGTATTTTTAGTGGAGACGGAGTTAAGTGGAGACCGGGTTTCACCGTGTTAGCCAGGACGGTCTCAATCTCTCCTGACCTCGTGATCCGTCCGCCTCCGCCTCCCAAAGTGCTGGGATTACAGGCCTGAGCCACGGCGCCCGGCCTCAATGCCCACTTCTATCTTAATACAATTGTTAACATCAGGACAGGTGGCAAGCTGGTGAACAATAAGATCATATTCTTTTAGTAAATCTGTCAGTGTTCTTACTATTGTCACTTTAAGAAAATACCTCCAGCGAACACTTGCATAAATTCAGAATCATAACTTCTTCTCTGAGCCACTTCTCCAGGTGAGGCTAGTTCTTGCATTAGGTTTATAAATTCATGAGCATTACTCTTGTCATTGAAAAGTTCCATTTGACCTATAAATTCAATTCTAATTCCTTCATGCTCTAGCCTCTATCCAGGTTGCATAAAGGCTACATTTACCTTTCCTGAAACAGATTCTCCATTATAAAGAGAGAGTGTTTTTCTACTTTGCCATTTTCAGTTTTCATTTCTGTCATTTTCCTGGCTTCCCCATCATTAAAGACAATATTGATCTCACAAATTGGACCAAAAAAAGCCTTCAAGAAAACTCATTGTCAGCACTGCCGCCACATCCCCCCTACTTTACTCCTCTTCACTCAGGAGAACTCTCAGCCCCAGCTCCCTCTGCTCAGCACCCCCAATTTGGAAAATTTAGATCCAGTGGTGGTCATTTGAGTGCTAGAATTAGATTTAATCCACAAATAATTGATTATTTTTAAAAATCATTAAATTCTTACTATTTTTAAAAAGAAGCCTTTAAAACTCGATCTCAAGAAATACCAGCCCAGGTGTGGTAGCTCACACTTGCCCCACTTTGGGAGGCTGATGTGGGAGGGTCATTTAAGGCCACAAGTTCAAGACCAGCCTGGGCAACATAGGGAGATGCTTGTCTCTATTAAAAATGTTTTAAAATTGGCCAGGCATTGTGGTGCACACCTGTGGTCCCAACTACTGAGGCTGAGGTAGGAGGATCACTTGAGCCCAGGAGGTAGAGGCTACAGTGAACTGTGATTGCACCACTGCACTCCAGCCTGGGCAACAGAGCGAGACCCTGTCTCAAAAAAAGAAAGAAAGAAATACTACAACTTTGATTACCAGGTAGCAGGTCACAGGAGAGCAGTATGCTTTGCAGTCATGATCAGATTCTCTTTTGTAATAAAGCTTCTGACTAATTCTAGGTCTAGTCAGCAACATACTTATAACTGTTTAGATTTAGAATTAGCTGGAAGCCTTTGCTTTGCAAAGCCATTTATAACATCAGACAGTCAATATAATCATTGATATTGAAGCCAGATATATCAGAAAACAAATGCAGTTGTGTTTCAGAAAACAAACTTCATTTATCACCAGCATAGAACAACGTCCTAATTCCTCCTAGGTCTTTTCAGCCATAAAAATGGCAGTGCAACATTAACAGGCATCCTCTCAGAAGATAAAGGGAAATAATGTATCCAGTTCTTCTGAAATACCAAGTTCTCTAGGTAGAAATGAGTCACAAGAAAATACAAAATAGATTCAGAAGAAATATAATAAGTTAAATATTAGCTACTGAGTAAAGAGGAAGATTTGTATCTCAGGCATCCCACATTTTTAAAACTGGAAGAACAGAAAAAATATTTTTTTTATTATGAAACTCATAATCACAAGACAATAGCTATTGATAGCAATCTCTTTGCTACTCTACCATCAATAATAAGAACAAAATTGATTTTGGTTCCTAGTATTCATAACAATATCATCTACGAATACATAATTACATGTAGGCCAGGCATGGTGGCTCACGCCCATAATCCCAGCTCTTTGGGAGGCCAAGGCGGGTGGATCACCTGAGCTCCGGAATTTGAGATTGGCCTGGAGCAACACAGCAAGACCCTGTCTCTACCAAAAAAAAAAAAATGCCAAGCATGTTGGTGCATGCCAGTAATCCCAGCTACTCCAGAGGCTGAAGCACAAGAATCACTTGAGCCCAGGAGGCGGAGGTTGCAGTGAGCCGAGGATTGCACCATAGCACTCCAGCCTGGGTGAGACAGCGAGACCCTGTCTCAAAAAAAAAAAAAAAAAAAAATGTATATATATATACACGTTTACATAAAAGTTTCAAATAAAGGAATAATATCTAATGGTTAATAAAATACTTAGATTATAAACTAAATTGCGGCTAGGCGCAGTGGCTCATTCCTGTAATCCTAGTACTTTGGGAGGCTGGGGGGGACAGATTGCTTGAGCCCAGGAGTTTGAGACCAGCATAGCCAACACGGCAAAACCCCTCTACTAAAAAAAATACAAAAATTATCCAGGCATAGTGACGCATGGCTGTAATCCCAGCTACTCAGGAGACTGAGGCACAAGAATCGCTTGAACCTGGGAGACAGAAGTTGCAGTGAGCCGAGATTGCACCTCTTCACTCCAGCTTGGGTGTGGGTGACAGAGCAAAACTCTGTCTCAAATAAATAAATAAATAAAATTGACTATAGAACAACTTTCTCTTTGACTATGTCAAATGACTCACCTTATCTGAATCTCTGCTGCTGCTGCTGAATTCTAATTTTATGTAGCAGGCTAAATCATGTGCTCCCAAAGTTAATAAAATATCTAAAATATTTAGGATAAATTCAGTTGCAAACTAACTATAAGCTTATTTGAGATGTTTACCAAAATAAAACTTACATTTATTTATTTATTTATTTATTTATTTATTTTGAGACAGTCTCAATCTACCACCCAGGCTGGAGTGCAGTGGCACAATCTCAGCTCACTGCAACCTCCAACTCCCAGGCTCAGGAGATCCTCCCACCTCAGCCTCCCAAGTAGCTGAGACTACAGGTGTGTACCACCATGTCCAGCTAATTTTTGTATTTTTTGGTACAGACGGGTCCAGGCTGGTCTCAAACTCCTGGGCTCAAGCAATTCACCCGCCTCAACCTCCCAAAGTGCTGGGATTATAGGCATGAGCCACCATACCCAGTCCCAAAATAAAACTTTTTAACACATAATCAATGAAATTCTTCTTATGAGGATTTAACCATTAATTTCCAATTAAGAAATTTAACCAACTTCTTAGGTGGAACTTTTAAAAATATATTATCTTTGACATAGTCCATAGATACTGCAGTCTCAAGTGTATAGCTCCATGATTTTCACAAAGGGAATACATACATGTACCACCACTCCAATCAGGATATAGAACTTATATGAGCATCCCAAAAGCTCCCTCCCAGTCTTTACTTACCTGACTCTCCACAACAGTAACTACTATGCTGACTTTATGTCCATAAATTTGTTTGGCCTGGTTTTTATCTTTATATAAAGAAATTATGTAGCATGTACTCTTTTATATCTGGCTTCTTTTGCTCAACATTGTTATCTGTGAGTTCTACTCATATTGTTACAAGTATCAGTACTTTGTATTGTTTTCATTGTTATATAGGATTCTTTTGTGGGAATACACACAATCTATTCATCCATTTTATTACTGATGGCCACCTGAACTGTTTTGAGTTTGGGACCATCATAAATAATGTTGCTATGAACACTGTAGCACATCATTCAGAGTACAAATGTACCCATTTCTGAAGAATGTATACCTAGGAGTGGAACTGCTGAGTCACAGAGAATTCATACCTTTGGTAGTTACTGACAAGCTTTTTGGCAAAGTGGGTATTGCAATTTACACTCCACCAAAATTCAGTTATTTCACATGAAACCATTTTGAATTGAGTTCAACCTAATTGAATTGGTACCTTAATGAATAAATATACTTTTAGTTTTCAAAAGGTCTGAACTTACTTGTTGGAAGCATTGCCTAATTAAATTATTATACTGTTCACATGTGAATTTAACCAAATATTTGAATACCAGTTTATATACTGCCAAAATAAAATCAAAGCATGTCTAATTCTTCCTCCTCACAACATAAATCAGTTTATATAGGCTCAACCTTCTAAGAATAATAGCATTCTCCCAAATTTATCATTAGGTAAGAACACAAGGACTAACCTATTATATTTCTAGAACTGGCAAACTTCTGCATAAAGCGTGAACTGGTAAAAAGCAATTCAAACATTCTGTCAGCACTGATATGAAAAACACGGTTGATGAAAAGTCTTCCATGAAGATCTTTCTCAGAAACATTTTCTGAAAAAACAGAAACACAAACCAAAAGAGAAGAAATAAAGAAAGATTATTTTAACGCTTTAGGGGGTTTTGTGGGGTTTTCTTTGTATTGTTTTATTTGGGGCATAAAATCATTTTTAAATATGATTACAATGAGGAGAACATTCCAGAACACTATTAAAACTCCAAATAGGAATTAAATATATACATATGTACGACCTATAACTATGCATAACAATATATAGTTAACTAAACTACATATAATCAATATTTCAACTGTCAAAACCCAAAAGATACAGAAGTATTTAACTTGAATGATACCAAATGGCCATAATACTCAAAAGAATATTTCAAAAGGGACAAAGACAATATACAGACACATAAGATAGTATCTACCATAGAAATTAGCAACTTCTACCTCTGAATGCTCACTCAGTAAATATTAATTTATCAATGGCTATAATATCTGCTGCACTTAGCTTATCAGCCTGAATAATGTTTCAGCTTGACTTAATGTTCACTACCCAAAGACAAGAATGACTATAATCACGACCTATTCTCAACACGACACATTAAAAGAACTAAGAAATCCTTCTGAAAAGTATTCATCAAAGCTAAATAATGCCCAATGAAATATTACATTTTTTCTGGGAATTTGATAATCATAATGATGTTGAAAACTACTAGTGACAAATGAAGAAGCAATATCTTGCTCACCTATTCTCATATGCCCTGGAAATATTATATAAAATACCCCATACTTACATAGTGCTTACTATATGTTAGACATTGTGCTACATACCTTACAAGTATTGACTCATCCTCTCTGCAATTCTATGAGATAAGTGGTAGTTATCATCATTATTTCCAGATGAGGAAACAGAATCACAGAAATAATTGCCAAGGTTCCATGGCTAGTGAGTGACTGACCTGGAATTTGAACCCACTCCAGCTCCAGAGCACACAAACTTAACATCTATTTTATACTGCCAGAAGGAATTTAACTTAGAAGAACCAAACAGAAAAGAAAAAAAAAATACCTAGGAACAGAAGCCTGGCATAATAGAGGAAGTAGCATAAAGCAATCCAATATGAAATTGTAATGATTTCAGGACCAGGATCATTTACTATTATTTCAAGGATTATGCCCCATTGATACAGAATAAAAATTGCCACAAAAGCTCCCCATGTTTCAGAAATCAAGCTCTAAGAATGATCTGGGTAAAGCATCTGTCAATATTAGTCAGGTGAAATCAAAGGGCAATAGTCTATGAATCAGAAAAACTCTTCCAGCTCTGGCTTCATCCCCAGCTACTGCTATTTATCCTCCATTGAATGATTTGTATCTCCCTATTTTGCTCGAGGCATAAAGGACTTACGGATATCAGATAGATATTGATTTGCTTCTCCCTTCAACAATACTCTATGTAGGCAAAAACTATTTACTGCAATTTCAAATAATGGCTCCTTCAGCGTAGAAATGAATCACAAAACTAGGAAATTTTGCTAAGCTTTGTGAGATAACTTTCCAATTGGGCCTGGGAAACAGCTTTTTCTGACATAGAAGTATTATATGTTCATTGTAAAAATAATTCAAATATTCACAAAGGAAGAAAACAACTAAAGGTGATTCTGTTGATCTTGTTCATTTCCTTCACAGAACCTATCCTGACTTGTAGTTATACTTTTATTGGTTTATTGACTTGTTATCTTTCTCCTGCTCACTATAGTAGATCAACATACTATCACTAAATAAAATGATGTTTGGTTTAAAGTGATCTGCAATCTCCCTCACTCCCTCTAAACCCATACACACATCCCCAATCTCCTGGGATGGTTTACTTTTTGTGACCTTTTCAATTGTCACTTCAGTTCATTGACTTCAACCGTCTTCATAACTTAACAACTTTAAAAAAGTAAAAAAATAGATTCATTATTTTACCCATTAAATACATATGACAAGTCCAATATTTTGGAACGTGCTTAGGGAAACCAGTAGGAGCACTTGATTTGTTATCTAATGATAATCTAATAAGAAAAAAATCACCATACACTTTAAATAAAACTCCCCAAACAGACGTCTGAATGTTACATATACCTTCTCACTGCTGTAAAGCCAAATAGCGTTTGCAAGGAGCAAAGTGTAATCAGAGTTCATGTGCAATAAAGAATCTATACACTACTATTCTTTATTTCTAGATATGCACAATTTTCATCAGTTTTATTGTTATCCTTTATGCAACTTACAATGTTACTTTTATAGGATTCTTTGGTTGTGGTCTTTTTTTTTTTTTTTTTTTGGAGACAGAGTCTCACTCTCGGGATTAAAAGCTTGTGCCACCACACTCAGCTAATTTTTGTATTTTTAGTAGAGATGAGCTTTCATTACATTGGCCAGACTGGTCTTGAACTCCTGACCTCATGTGACCCACCTGGCTCGGCCTTCCAAAGTGCTGGGATTACAGGCGCAAGCCAACACATCCAGCTGAAACTACTTTGGAATGACCATTCTTATAAAAAAAGCAGATGAGAAAGAAAAAAAAAAAATCCTGGTTTTGGTGTTACTTACCTATTTGGCCACTGGGGGCCAGAGGAGATCTTCCTAAAGTCCTAAATTCAGGTAAACAGTGTATGACTAATCCATGCCCTGCTGCATACTAAAGCATGAATGGTAAGGACACTAATAAAGCAGTCGCTATGCTACCCTTGATCTTTCCAAACGTCTCCCACTACACTGACTTCAATGGCAATGATCTTACAATTTTAAGAAAAAGAGTCCTTAAAATGCCTACTTAATAAGTACAACAAGCCTCAAGTAATTTGTACTAAATTTTCCTTTAAACAACTACTTTCATTATATTTTTTGCTTTCTCTTTCTCTTTCCCTTTCTCTCTCCTATTGGTGGTTACAAGAAAGTAACACAATCATAGGGTCTATAACATCTATCCTCAAAACTGAAACATAAGAAGTATTATTATTATTATTATCATCATTATCTTTTTTTTTAAGAGACAGGATCTGGCTCTGTAGCCCAGGCTAGAGTGCAATGGTGCAGTCATAGCTCACTGCAGCCTTGACCTCCTGGGTTCAAGTGATGCTCCTGCTTCAGCCTCCTGAGTAGCTAGGACTACAGGCATGCACCACCATGCCCAGCTAATTTTTTATTTGATGTAGAGACAAGTTTTGCCCAGACTGGTCTCAAACTCCTGGCCCAAGCAATCCTCCCACCTCGGCCTCTCCAAGTACTGGGATTACGGATATGAGCCACTGTGCGCAACCAAGAAAAACTAAGATCTTTGATCTTTCTCAAACTTAACACACACAATCTATATTTTGGAAGTTTTTAAAATGTTTTAAAAAATTAAATTTTATATTAAGGAAAACACATTAACATAGTAAGCTTATATCTACATAAAATGGTTGGGAAATGGGCTTACATTGACTAACACAATATTATTGTGTGCTGGGTATTATATATAAAGCAGTGGAGATGTCTCT